GGCCCCACCCCAGGTGCTGGCCCTGTCCCGTGGGTGCTGGCCCCACCAAGGCTGTTGGGGCTCTTACCAAGGCACCGGCAGCGGGGTGCTTGGAGTCCTTGAAGAAGGTGAGGATCCCCCCCTCCAGCACCGTCCAGGATGAGCTCCAGTTCTTCCTGGGGAGCAGCAGGGGGGTCATGCAGGGGGACAGCACAGCTCCTGTCCCCTCTGCCCCCCCGGGGCTCCCTTCTCCGGTGGCGGGGACACCGGGATGTGCTTACCGGAGCCGCTTCCCTCTGTCCACTGTCTTAGTCCGGTTGAGCACTCCGGCTTTTTCGAGGCTTTTAAACTGGAGGGCAAAAAGGGGGGAGAGGGGGGAGTCAGGTCTGCCCCCTGCCCTCCCTGGTGCTGGGGTGGGGAAGGGCTGCTGCCCCTCCCCATGGTGCTCACCTTCTCCTCCCTGAGCCCCAGCTGGGGTGGCACGGTGCTGTGCCGGGCGGAGAGCCCGCTGTCCTGGCTGGGGCTGGCCCCGCTGCACCCCAGAGCCCCTGCCCTCTGCTTCTGTGGCCCCATGAGGACGGTCATCCCCTGGCACACAGCCCTGTCCCCATCCCAGTCCCTATCCCTGTTCCTGTCCCCATCATCCCCATCCCTGTCCCTTTCCCTAGCCCTGTCCCCATCCCTGTTTTCATCCCTGTCCCCATCCCCAACCCCATCCCTGTACCTATTTCCACCCCTGTCCCGGTCCCCATCCCTGTCCATATCCCATCCCCATCCCCATCCCAGTCTCTATCCTTGTTCCTGCCCCTATCTCCATCCCTGTCCCTTTCCCTCGCCCTGTCCCTTTCCCTTTCCCTGTCCCCTTCCCTTGCCCTGTCCCCATCCCCATCCCTGTCCCCGTACCGTGTCGGAGGTGAAGTGCTCGGGGCAGAAGACGGCTCCCTCGGGGTGGCTGTGCCTGTACCAGCCCGGGGGCGAGCCCAGCTCCTCGGGGTGCCTCGGGGGCAGACAGAGAGCGGCCCCCTGATCATAGGAGCCCACGGGCGAGTAGTCCTCCTCGGGATAACCCTCCAGCTCATCTGGAGACAGGTCAGGATAGTCCGCTTCTGGTGTGGGTGGCTGGAGAGAAGAGCCAGGTCAAGATCTTATGCCCCACCAAGAGCATCCACATCCCCAAGCCATGGCCAGCCCAGGTGGGGGCTGTCCCATCTCCATCATCTCCATCTCCATCCCCATCTTCATGCCCATCTCCCATCTCCATCCTATCTCCATCTTCATCTCAACATTGTTATCAACGACCTGGACGAGGGGATCGAGGGCACCCTCAGTCAGTTTGCAGATGACACCAAACTGGGCGGGAGTGTGGATCTGCTGGGGGGAAGAGGGCTCTGCAGAGGGACCTGGACAGGCTGGATCCATGGGCCCAGCCCAATTGGGTGAGGTTCAACAAGGCCAAGGGCCGGGTCCTGCCCTGGGGTCACAACAACCCCAGGCAACGCTACAGGCGTGGGGAAGAGTGGCTGGAAAGCTGCCTGGCAGAAAAGGACCTGGGGGTGCTGGTTGACAGGCG